ACTTCCAATGTGTAAGAGCATGTGGATATGCCATAACTTAGTGAAATACTTCAGGAATTGCTGATATTCCTAACTTTTTCACATTATAAAAATGACTGCATAGGTCTGTGTTGTTAACCAGGAAATAAAATCTTGTAGTCTCCTTGTTATCAGAAAAATAATGTCTTAAGAGCAACTAAGTTTTTTTTATAAAGGAAACTTTTGGTATTCAGTGACATGACAAAATATGAAGTATGACAATCTACAAATATTATACCTCTCTTATTTACTCTCTTGTCACAGAATTAGAAATACACGCATCCTCCCAGGCTAATCATAGTCTCAAGGGTAGCCATAGTCTCACCTAATTTATTATCTTAAAACCAAAACACAAAGATGAGCAGTGCTTCAAATCTTTTCAATTGAATAACAAAAGTATTTGATAACCTATGAGTTTCTGGCTTACATATGAATTTTCTTTGTTTACTTTATTCCCAAATAGGGGAAAGAAAAAAAAAATAGACTTACTACAGAAGCATTGGGTGCAGATAAATAATTCATAAAATCTTTTGCAAATTTATGCTGGAAAAAAAAAGAAAAACCCAAAGTTAAAAGTGGCATCTTAAGGCGTTACTGGTAAACCAGAAGGAACACTCAGAGCACAGCAGCACGAGCCAAGCTAGTTCTCACCAAACAGTTAAATGCCGATAAGTTTTCTGAGCCAGCAAATCGAAAACCCAGAGACAAGCAGGCTCCTGCAATGATGTAGACGTGTGCTTGCCTGAAAACAGATTACAGAAAACATAATGTTGTTACTGTCCTGTAAAATCCATTATCACCTATCCTCTTGGGATAAAAATAAAAAACTCATCTTCTCCAAACCAATTTTTAGTCTTCTGAGAATGCTGAAGAAAGCCCCCTAACCAATCATCAGATTTCTGTGGATTTTTGCAGATTATGTGACCCTTACTGACATAACATTCTTTCATATACTACAAAGGACAATTTTAAAAAGCTCCCCCCGACCCCTTCATGGAAAGAATGAAAAAGGAGAAAATACAACTAAATTTCCATTTTTTTTTTCTTTTTTTGGAGACAGGTTCTCATATGTCCAAGGGTAGCCTTGAACTCACTTATATAGTTAAGGATGCCTGATGTCCTGTCTCTACCTCCCGAGCTTTATTTACACACACACACACACACACACACACACACACACACACACACACACACACACACACAATCTGTGGATATCATATAAATAATGATTACAAACATGAGGGATTCAGAATTACTCAAATCAGGTGACGGATAGTTCTCCTATGTAAGTAAACTGATCTGTCAGGTCCTAACATAGTGAATAATGTATTACATTACTTACGACAAGGTTTCCAAATTCAAGTCCTCTGAACAAGGCAATTCAATTTCACTCAGAGAGATACTATTTTCTCTTATAATCTGTCAAGACAGAAAATAAAATCCAAAGTGAGTGATTTATATATACAGGGACAACTGTATATATACAGTTCATATATATTAGAACTCATCTATAACTTCCTATAGGAACAGGTTGTTTCATTTTGACAGTAGGCATGCCTAAGTTCCTTTGAATTACTTTTTAAAATTATTTGTGTATGTATTTATTTTACTTATTGTGTGTGGGCACATACAAACATGCCATGGTACATGTATAAAGGTCAGAGAACTTCTTGTAACCACAATTCTCCTAACATGCAGAGGTTCCTAGGATCAAACTCAGGTCACCAGGTTGGGCAGCAAGAGCCTTTACCGACTCACTGAGCCATGTCTCTGGGCCTCCTTTGGGTCTTTAACAGAACATGTACACTGGAGCTTGGGCATGGCTCCAAAGCCAACTCTAAGGCCACACCCAAGCTGCCTGAGAGCTCTGTGATTCATCTACACATGAACATGATGGAAGGTAATCCACTGACAACTCTTAGAATTGGCACGCTGTATACAGAAGTCTTTTGTGTTAGCTACAGCCATGGTCACAACACCACACTTGATCATCAACTAAAAAAGCATCACTAAGAATATGAGTTGTAAGTAACTGCAATGAAAAGCCCTCTAGAATCTGGGCTTTTGTCATCATCCTATGGTCTCTAAGTTATAAAAAATAAAAATCAAAAATCAAAACAGGAGAGATCAAAGAGAAGGAGAGAGATAATCACTTGCAAGCAAGTAAAGGTGTACAGGAAATACAAAAACATTACCAAACCTCAGGTGGAGTATGGAGTGTGCCTATGAGCCCAGCACTCAGGAGGCAAAACCAGGAGGATTCCAAGTATGAGGTCAGTCAGGTCCTAACAACCCTTCCTTCGGGGTGATTCTGCCCAATGCCCACAGAACACTAAATTTCAGCAACTGTGCATTACTTATTGCAAATCTTTACAGGAGCCTGATCCATGATAGCCGGAAGCTGAAGCTGCCCAGGTGCCCAACAAGCAACAGAAAAGAAACTGGCATGATCACGTGCAGAAAAACCTCAAGGATGGACTATTAACACACCTAGTAGTATCACACACCATGTTCGGTGGAAGGCTCACACAAAAGATATGTACTGTAGGTGACTTCATTAAAGGAAATTCATCAGTAAGATTAGCACACTGGGGAAAAAATAGAATGTTTGAGTATGGAAGGATACTGTTCAGAGCAGCAGCGTACTCGACACAGGTTTGTGTCCATAGGCACACCATTAGTCACATCTTATTAAACAGTACATTTAATTGTGTTCTATGATTCAGAAATTTTCACTCAGTAGAAAAAAATGAAAACTGACATCTAGTTAATGATACATATACCGATATATTAGGGACAAGTCCCATTACTGTTTACAACTTGAAAATGTATTCAAAAATTATGCATAAAATAATGGGATGGGTAAGCCAACAGACATGCAATTAAACTAGCTTATACAGTAAAATGTTACCTATAGAATGTATCAGTAATATGGGAGTTCATATAAAGTCCATTCACATTTTAGTTTTAGAAGTGTTCTACTCAGGGTATGGATTGGAAACAATGCAGGACCCACACTGGCAACAGCTAGTTATAGTAATGCTTCTGAAGTCTTGTTACAAAGGAGACTGCTTGCTTTTAACTAATATACCCAGCTTTTTAGTATGTGAGCAATAAAAATGCAAATTTTATAACCAGAATCTTAAGATAAATGTATAATTAGAATAAAATATCAAGAGTGTTCCAGTTTAATTTTAAACAATACAATTTCAAAGCCTCTGAGGACAAAAGGCTGAGAGAGGTCTGTGGTCAATATACAATTTTTTTCCCTTTTTTTTTAAAAAAACTTCTTTTCATGTGCATGTGCATCTGGTGTGCAGCATGTCTACATTTAAGCACGTTTGTGTATGTATGTGAGCCTGCGCCTGTGTGTACATGGGTACAGAGACCTGAGGTTGATGCCAGGAATCTCCCTTGACCCTCTTCTGCCATATCCATCGAGGAAAGATCTCTTAATCAAACCTAGAGGTCACCAATATGTCTAGTCCCATCTCTACCTTCTCCCACCAGGATTTACATGGGATCTGGGGACACTAACATCACATCCACCCTAGCACTTCAAAAAGCACCACCACACGAGCAGAGTACTCACAGTAAGCTTAGTGGGAAGTCTCCATCACTACCCATTCCACCATGCCAGTCTATAACCTCTATCGGATAGCCTGAAGAGGTTCAGAGATAGCCTCAAGGTTCCAATAGATCTGGGAACTAAGGGCTCATGTGAAGAAATGTGACCACTAGCAGGACCAGGACACCACAGCCCATGACCACCCCTGCAAAGTGGGACCTGCCTGAAGGGGCAAGAGCTGGACGTTCTAACTCTGGTCCTCTTGCTTCCAATGCAAGCACTTCAAATGCTGTGCCATCTCCACGGCCCTCAGAATACACTTTTAAAATGAAAGCTCCTCTGTCTTCAAAAGATACCCCCTAAAGATGAGCTGAAAAGACAGCTCAGCAGTTACAAGAATGCACTATTCTTCCAGAGGAACTGAGTTCAATTCACAGAACCACTATAAGCAGCTCAAAACTGCATGTAACTCCAGCTCCACGAGGATCTGATGCTTCTTCAAGCATCACACTATGTGTGCGCATGCACACACTTAAAAACAGTAAAACAAATCTTTTAAAAAGAAGAAACCGTAAGGATAAATAATTGCCTTCCTAAGAAAAAAATATTCTATAGCACTTTGGAAAATCTTGCAAGAAATCACAATTTATGTTATTAAAGTTACAGTATTGGTTATTTGTACCTACCTGAGGAACATTGCTGTCAACCCACTTGGAATTTGGTAAAATATCATCCCACAAAATCAGGCACCGAGCAAGTGTCTTAAAAATGAATTACAGACAAAATTAATTAGACAAAGCTCACATAATTCCTAACAATTATAGCAGTAAACAGCTAAGGATTAGTTCCCAACTAAGGATTACTTTAAAAAACATAGACTATCAACTAAATATATAAAGATCTAGATCTTAAAAATAATTAAAATTCATTTCATTATCATCATCAAAGTTTCAAGGGTTTGGAAAAGGCTTTAAGTTGTTATGAAAGAAAACTCCAAAGGGAAAAGCCATAGCTTGGCTTATATATCGATTTAAAAGCTTCCATGTACTGGATCAAACATTAAAGAAATGCAGAACAATTTTAGACAGTACTAAACTGTTACTCTCATTACAACCTTAACAGTACTATTGCATCCTTAAAATACTAAAAAAATAACACAAGGTCCTGGTCATGTGCTGCCTTTTAGTAAGTTTTTTAATACAAATATAAGAAACATCATTTCAAGTATTTTCGATCAGGTTGGTCATCTTTCTTATCCTTCCTAAGTTCTATTTGGGAAACTTCAAAAGAACAATGCCAATCAGAAAAATGTGGCAAGTTAAAAGTAAAATCCTTTCGTGGAAAGGCATTTAGGTATAATGCTAAACTTGAGGATCACAAAACATCCCCTTCATGTCAAGAAAGATGAAAATGACAAAGCACCGCACCCTAAGCAAGAGAAATTCTGGCTTCACAAAGTCCAGCAAATACATGGTATCAGGAGCTCGCAGCCAGTCGGCAATGGATCTGTTGGCAGAGGACATCAATGAAGATTACTGCTCAAGAAAGCCAGGTAATCAAAACCCAAAAGACATCAAATCATTTCTCCCCTCCAGCAAAGGTCTAGCTTTTCTATTAATGCTTCATACATGTTGGCATAACATTTATTTTTTTAGGACTCACTATTAAAATATAAGTTCCATGACAGTATTTTTAATTTTGTCTTGTTCAATGAAATATCTCCAGTATCAAGAAGACACTGACATAACATTTATCCAAACAGAAGGTTAATGATATCTGTTACCACTTTGTTAATTCTGCATAGAATTTTCCTAATTGCAGGAACTTCGAATGTTTAGGGTTTCATGAATCTCAGAATATTTTTCAAATGAAAAGAAGGTGAGCTGGGGACATAACTCAGAACAGACTGGGAAAGCAGAAGGTTTAGTCATTAGAAAAGCTTCTAAACAAAGCAGAAACCATTTTTATAAATGGTAACCAAGTACCGAATAATGTTAAGTATTTCTGGCTTAAAAAGTACTCACAAAGATAAGCCAAATTACTGAAAGGAACTGCGCAGCTTTTTTTTTTTTTTCTTCAAGATTCTACTTGAAAGTATCAGGAGGAAAAAAAAAATCTAGCTTAAACAGATGGTCTTTATGGTCTTTTGATTTTTTTTAATCATTTCTCTAAACAATACAGTATTAACAACCATTTATACGGTATGAATAAGTGTATCTCATATTGTAAGCTCAGATGATTTTAAGTACCAAGATGAAGTGTATATATTACACACAAATCCCATGCTTTTGTGGGTTCTAGTGTCTTTAGGGGTTCTGGGACCAATACCCTGAACACAATAAGTCGAGCATCCTGATAAACAGTATTACCAAAGCAAACACTACATAAAGTCTACTCAGTTCCTGATATCTGAGAGAGCAGACATCAGGCTGCTCTTGCACAGGGGAGATATACATGGGAAGACTGTACTGCTGAGGACAAAAAGGACGCCACATGTCATGCAAGGGGCAAGTGGGTGCTCATACCTGTTATTGGTTTTTAAGTAGATCATAGCCAAAGCCAGAGTAGCACCTGGACAAGTCACATCCACATTTATGGTATCTCCTTCCTGGTGAGAGAAGTTACTCGTGTAAGAACTCTGAATTCACCAGGCTGACACACCAACAGCACACTTAAAACTGTTGGCAGGAACCACTACTTTGAAGCTATCGCCTCTTAGCCTTCTCAGCTTGTGGCATTCTGACCTCTAAGTCTGATTTGACTTACTTTGATTTGGTAACTTGGAGATTTATGTTTCTCCCTGTGCATTCCAGTCTGAAAACGTCTATGACCTCCAACCATGTACTGATACAGCTGCTCGGGCACATTGAGATCAGACATACCGATCAAATTGCTGCCATGCTGGAAAAATCAAGTAACTGAGATGAAAAGAAGTCTTACAGCAATAAATTAGTAACACACACCCATAGTAAACAAAGGGACACACTTCAGAAGAGGGTATTTTAATCTTCATGTTCCTTCCAATTACAATAAAGATTTTACACATTAACTAATATCAAGCTATTAATTCTCAAAAATTATAATTTACACTCGGATCTACATACTTTCATTTCATAAAACACAGAGTCAAAGACAAATTACATTCAGAGTAAAGGAAAAGACCGAGTACATATTAAAAATCTGACCTGTGAACACCTGAGTATCGTCACTGCACCATGGCTCTCTTCAGGCAACCACAATAACTTACTGGATGTTTACTCAGTATCGTGTTCAATTCTGCTGTAGTCAGCAACCCCATTTGTCCTAGTTAGCTTTACTTCTTAACCTGACACAGCCTAGAGTCACCTGAGAGAAAGGCCTCAGGTGAGGAACTGTTCCTCAGGTGAGGAACATGCCTGTAGGGACTGCCTCGATGATCAACTGACAAGGAGGCCCCAGCCCACAGTGGCAGGCACCATCCCCAGGCAGTTTCCTGGGTTGTAAAACAGAGCTCGCTAAGAATAGCCTGTAAGCAAGCCAGAAAGTGAGCCAACAAGCAGTACTCCTCCATGTTTTTGCTTCAGGTTCCTGACTTGAGCTCCTGCCCAGCAAGGAAGGGTGAGCAGAAATAAACCTGTCCTCCTCTAAGGTTTCTGGTCAGTGTTTGACCAACAGAAAAAAAGTAGGATACTACTGAATAGCTATCAGTAAAAATCTCATTTATAATGAGAAAAGGGAGGTGCAATTTAACCAGCCCAAGGTTACCTACCTAGCTACTAAACGGCAGGACTGTATGTCAAACAGTTCTGCTCAACAGTCATATGGTTGCTTAACCAACAGACACTAATGTAGTCAAATAATCAGATTCACCACTAGTCTAGACCAAAATTCCAATCCCAATTCACAGTATGATGCTTTTTACACAGTACCACCTGCCTCTTTAGCTCACATGTCAACATTTTGAATATCATTTAGCTTGACTAGAACACTACATTGGTGGATTTTCAAGGCAATCACATTCCAAGTAAAAAACAGTAATTACATGAAATGTTTTTGGTAGTTTTGTAGACATCTCTTGAATGGAATTAAAGATGAGTTAACCTGACACTGCATTCTGTTACAAAGCAAGAGCTGCTATAGCAACTCTTGGAAACAGTGTTAAACAGAGCAGCAAAGGAAGATTAGGGCTATTTCTAGCAATTACTACAGATTTTTAAGGCTTCTAATCATATATATTTTCACTATTTTTCTATTCATGTATGTGTAGAGAGAAAGAGAAGTGTGATCATTATATGTGTGTGTGAATAAGCATATGTGTCTGGGTGTGGTGTATGTACATGTACACATACACACATGTATGCAAGTGTATAAGTATGCACAGGGCCACAGGAGGATGCTGGGTATCCTGTGCTATCATTCTTGGTGTGTACTGAGATCCAAACTCAAGTTCTCACACATACACAGCAAACATTCTCACCCACTGAGCGATCTCTCCAGCCCTCCTTTCTCCAGAGTGATTTACCACTCTTCATCTTATCTCTTGAACTTTTTTCAAGAAATGTCAGGACTGGAGAGATGGTTCAGTGGTAAAGAGCACTAGTTGCTCTTCCAGAAGACCTGGGTTCAATACCTAACACCCATATGGTGGCTATGTGTAACTCCAGTTCCAGAGGATCCAATGCTATCTTCTGGGCTCTGCAGGCATTGCACATACATGGTAAACAGACATACATGAAAGCAAAATATTCATACACATAAAATAAAAATAAAAGAGAAATATCATAGTTTAACTATAAAAAACATGTAAGCCAGGGAAAAGAAATCTTAAAGTCTCACTTCACTGTAATTTTTCTCCACTGTATACTTTGAAAAAAGAATCCAGAAAGAAGAAAAGGTTGGGCACTGAGTTAAGTGGCAGGAGAGCAGAGTGGCCTTCAGGGCTAAGTGTGAAGGTTGTTCTTTCAACATGCAGACGTCCTGGCTAAAAGCAGGGGAAGACTGACTACTCACCCCCAAGCAAACCATACCCAGGGCCAGGCCAGCAGCTAAAGAGTAGGACTCTCTGTCAGTGCAATATTCCATCTCCGGACCAGGGGGCCGCCCTGTGGAGGACAGAGGAACACAGGTCACGTCAGCCTATAAAAACCCCAACTTGTACAAGTTTTAGAGACTTCACTTCCCAATTGCTTAAGATAAAGACACTGTCCAAAGGGTGTCCACATTATCAGCTTATCTAAAGCTCCCAAAGGTTCTTAACTATACCTATCAAAGCTTCTATCAGCAATGACTTTCAAACAGTATGAAAACTTGGATTTTACCAGAAAGTTGCCAAGAAGTTACAGTTTTTAAAGAGAAAATTACTTTGGGCTGGCCCAATTTGCTGCCACGCTTGCAATCTGAGTGCAATGTCCAGGACACCATGGTGGGAGAGCAACTCCAGCAAACTATCTTCTGACCTCTGCACTGCAGCTCACCCCAACACTTAAAAAAGGAGACAATTACTCTTCAAGAACTTTTCCCTAAAGATAAATGAAAATAAAAGTATTTGAATTTTATTTTTATTCTTTTCAAATGTATTCATTAGATGTGATTAAAAATGTTCAAGTACTGTTAATAAATAAAACGTGTACTTATTTATGCTCTCAAGTGAAAAGCTGTGTTTTCAGATTTTCATTTGATTCTATATAATATATAATTGTATATAACACATATCATGTGTGCTTATGGTGAAATTTCATACTTTTAAAAGCACTCCGTTCTAACTCTATGCTTCAGTTCTCAACTAGTGCATATCTCCTACACATCGGATATTTACATTATGATTCATTACAGCAGCAAAATTACAGTTATGAAGTAGCAATGAAATAATTTTATGGTTGAGGGTCACCACAACATGAGAGACTGTATTAAAGGGTCATAGCATTAGGAAAGATGGAAACCACTGCTTTAGGGAAACAAAATGTGTTATGTATAAAGAGCTCTCCCTCTAGAAAGAAGTTCATACTTCTGGAATTTTATTCTTCATAGGGAAAAAATGACATTCAAAAGAAAAAAATTACATGAAGGTAATCAGTATAATACTTATGCATAGTAGCAAAGAGACAGAAACAGCTCCTAAAAGTAGCTGGACAAGATGGCACCTACTATAATGCCAGCATTTGGGAGGTGGAGGAGGAAGCAGTTCTAGGCCAGCCTGGGCTGAGACCCCACCTTAAAAAGAAAAGGGAGGGGGCACTCAGTGGTTAAGAACACTTGTTGCTCTTCCAGAGGACCCAGGTTTGATTCCCAGCACCCACATGGCAACAGCTAACAACTGTCTGTAACTCTAGTTCCAAGAGATTGAACACCCTCTTCTGGCCTTCATGGGTACTACACATGGTGCACAGACACACATGCAGGCAAAACACTCATACATATAAAATAAAATAAAATTTTTTTTAAAGTGAAAGAAAAAGTCCTAACAATTAGGTATTTTAGAAAACTTAACTATATAAAATTCATAACTTCATTTATGATATTAAATTAATTTAAAGATACTTATGACAATGAAGCATTTTCAAAGGCAGAATATAAATATCATGTGCATATGAATCAAAGATGAAATCTTGTATTCAGAACATAAAAGAGGTGTGCTGTGGCTGTGAGACAGTGGTTACATCACTAGACAGCACTGTGGTACAGCAGCATTTACTTACCCTGTGGCTCCGTGGTTCTCAACCTTCCTAATGCTGTGACCCTTTAATACAGTCCTCATGTTGTGGCAACCCCCAACCATAGAATTATTTTCGTTGCTACTTCATAACGGTCATTTTGCTACAGTTATAAAGGTATCCGTGTTTTCCCATGGTCTTAGGTAACTCCTGTGAAAGTTGAGAACCACTGCTCTGGAGGAACAAGCTCTAAACAGCAGTGCTGGGGACCTTCTGAGTACTTTTTTCAGACCCATAATTTATGCAACACTGTATTTCGGTATAGGAATGCTTCCACTTTGTGAATAAAGTCTACTGTCACCATGGCACTCAAAGTCTCAGCCCAATCTTCACTGTCCTATGGTACACCCACTCCATCCAACAGCTTTTCGGTGGACCTGCCAGATGCGCCCTGGTCCTTCGCTGGCACAAGAGCAAAGAACTGAAACTTTGGTTACTGAGTCTCCTACATGCACATCACCCTCTAGCCTGGGTCCTAGAACAGGTGAAACAGAACCGGAGCAACCAAACCACACACAGATCTGCAGCCTAAAGCAGAGCCAGCAGGCCAATTTAATGGCAGTTCATTATGTAGGAGTGTGGTAGCAACAGCTGTGATGCAATCATGCTAAAGGATAATGCATCCTCACTAACACACTCTGGGTCAGAAATCTCCAAAGTTTACTTCAAGCCATGGTTTCCCTACTGGTAGTCAACACTGTTCTGAAAACATTAAATGTCAAATTCTAGAAATAAAAATGCTCAACTTCACTAGAGCATTATAATCATCCTACTCTCTAACGTCAGTTACCATTGTTAATTTGTTACTTTTATTTATAAGTTAAAGTTTGTCACTTGTATGTACAGTGGCCTCATTTTCTGTAGGTTCTGCACCCATGGACTCAACCAATCACACACCAAAATACTTTTTAAATTGTATCTCCACTGAACATACAGACTCCCATCATTATTCCCTAAACAATACAAGTGTAAAAACTACAACATTTACAGTAAGATGTGAATCCTTTACATTTTACCAGTGATTAAAAGATAATTGAAAGGCATGTGATGTGTATAAGGTACAGGAGACAATCATTTCATTATTTTTCAAGTGTTCTTGTCCAACAGAAGAAAACAACGTCACATTAGGAACCTAAACAATCTAGTTTTAAGTGCAGGTCACTGCTAGACACTGCCTTGTGTGAGATGAATGGCACACTCACTTGTGTCCACTCACGCTCAGCAGTGACCTGCCAGTCCAGGCTTACCACCTACACAGCCACAGAAGCCTGGGCTACATTACTTGTTGAGTTTTGCTTTTTTTTTTTTTTTTCCTTTTAAATAATTATCTGATCATTCTGTACTCATAAAAGCTACTCTTTGTTTTCCTTCATTTTCTATGGGTGTAGGTTTGAGTGGAAAATGTACACCTGTAAAGATTAAGCACTATTAACTGCATACCTATTTCAGCCAACAGGACTTCGGCAGTATGTCTGTGAGCTGTGCCCTGATAAACAAGGCCAATGCCAACCACCGCAGCCACTTGGACATTGTGAGGCACATCAAGCTCCGTGGACGTCGGGGGTAAGAGAGCAGGAACGTGGATGCTAAGAAGCCGGGTAACGGACATGTCCATGGTGCCAAGTTTTGCAGCAGAAACACCAAGAAGCAATCCAATGCTTGTCATCTCATGGCCCTACAAAGGCAAACAAAATAAAACTCAGACACTACCAGAACAAATATGGTTTTCTTGAAATAGAGGGAGTGCGTATGTCTGTGTCTGTGTTTGTGTGTGCATGCAAGTATATTTTCAGAAGCCAGAGATTAACCTTGGATGTTGTTCTTGGAAGCTGTCCATCTTAGTTTCTGAAGCATAGTCTCTCACTGGAAGCGGAGACTCACGTTCAGGTAGGATGGCTGCCAGCAAGACCCCGTGATCCTTTTTCCTTCACCTTCCCAGCACCAGAATTACAAGCATGCTCCACCACAGCTGGCTTTTTTTAGGTGAGTGCTGGGAACCAAACTCAAGTCTTCATGTCTGCACTCAAGCACGTTATGAACTGAGCTATCTCCCCAGCCTCATGGGTAGTTTTAGATAGAATAAGGCCTGCCTCTTTCAATAAGAATCTTCACATGGCAGGCACTGAGAGTATAGTGGCAAACTAAACACATGTGGTCCCAGCTCTTAGTGTTCTAATGGGGGAAAACATGCTAAATTAAAACACAAAAACCCACAATTAAAAGTTGTTTACAAATACAGAGTATATGAGACCATTTAAAGGAGACTAATATTTCTTTATTAGGAAGGGCTGGAGAAGTATTAGGAAGCTCTAAAGAACCTAACACATCAGCCAGAAAAGGGGCAGGAAGGGGACACTCAAAGGAAGAGCAATGGCATGGGTGCAGAAGGGAGCTGGACCACAGGGCCCCGAAGCAGACAGCAGTGGAGGGTGAGTGAGTGGTTCCGAGCAAGGGTCACACACCATTAACACTTTAGGAAGACTCTGTTTCCTGCTATGAGATGAACATAGTTGGAGGTGCAGCAATGAATCAGTGCAAGCAGACAAGTAGAAGGTGGTGCAGTAAGTGTGTGTGGCACCATACCAGGCATATGGATGACAGGTTCTCACCTTAGTTAAGTAGTCATGGATATTGAGAGTAGCCAACTTGGTAAGGTGCCCGTTCAGACCCAGGGCCATGAGAAAGCCAGCGTATTCATTGGCTAACTCGGCATGCTTCGGCTTGTTGTAAACAATCCAAGCTGAGTCTATCTGGGAGGCAGGGGCTATCTTCAGGCCAGCAGCCACACCATTATGGAAGCTGGCCCAGCTTGTCATATTGGGAGGCACATCGATGTTCCCACTATTGAGATCTACAGTTGTGTTTCTTGGAGGGGCTCGCCCTAGGCAGACAAAGAAGTGAATTAAGAGAATTTACAAAATTAAAACCCAGGCCTTTGAAGTAAGGTTGCCTTTACTGCATTCAAAACCCCTACTGGGGTCTGGAGAGATGGCTCAACAGTTAAGAGCACTTGCTTCTCTTGCAGAGGACCTAGGTTAAGCTCCCAGCACCCATGTGGCAGCTCAAAACCCTCTGTAATTCTGTTCCCTGGAATCCAATGCCTCTTCTGACCTCTTTGGACCCCTTCCCACACATGGTACACATACACTCGTGTGTGTGTGTGTGTGTGTGTGTGTGTGTGTGTGTGTGTGTGTGTGCATAAAATAATATTTTACACACACACACACACACACCCCGCCTGGGCATGGTGTCACAAGCCTGTAAACCCAGAACCCCAGAGGCAAAGGCAGGTGGATCTCTGTGAACTGGAACCCAATCTGGTCTCTAGAGAGTTCCAGGCCATTCAGGGTTTAGAGTGACGTAGCTGTCTTAAAAACAACAAACAAACTGTAGAGTTTAAAATACCTCAGGGTCCATTCTACTAACACACAGTAAAATAACTGACACCAATTTAACTTCCAACCACCTGGTCAGGGCTCTCGCTGCTCTGCATATTTACAACTGCAGGAAGGTAGAATGAAACTAAAGGTAGGTCAGTGTCACAGTTTAACTCCATGAATAACAAATTCCAACAGGTGACTGAGGACACTGGTGTTCATTTCAAACATTCACTCCTATACTGTTGTCTAGATATTAAAGCAAAGCAAATTTTAAGAGGCAAAGACCTTCAAAAATCTGTCCTATCTCTAATTCATATGTCTATGCCTCAGCACATAGATATCTATAAGTAGCTAACATATGTTAGATACTAAAAATGCCAAATGTGGAGCTGGAGAGATGGTTGCACTGTTAGGACCACTTCCTGTGCTCTAAGACCCAGAGTTTGGTTCCCAGCATCCACATCAGGTGACACAACTACCTGCAACTACAGATCCAGGGGATCCACCACTGTTCTTTCACCCCATAGGCAACCATGTGTGCACGCACACACACATGCACGCACATATACAACAGTTTCTTTTAAAATGCTAAATTCAACTGAGTATGGTGGCACATGCTTCTAATCCTGGCATTTAAGGGGTCAAAGCAGGAGAATAGAAATTTTGAGGTCAGTCTGAGCTACATAGCAAGACACTGTGTCAAAAAAGAAAATGTCTGTGTACAGAGAAGTTACCTAGCAAACTAGAAAGGAACTTTTTCTACTGTAATGGCCCATAAGTGATATAAATTAAATGTTGATAAGTTCAGTTTGAATTTTTCTAATTCCTTTGGGTTTTGGTACATATTGTATACACAGACATGACCAAATCATCTTTATATTATGAATGGTTTATGTTAGCTCAATTCATCAATAGACATTTATAAGACTGATGTGATGTCCATTGTGCCAAGATGGCAATGTGATGAATAAATTTAAAATAAATACTGATTATTGTACAAAGCTACTAAAATCTTTAGACTTTGAAAATACCATTTAAAGATATCTAAAACATCACTGAAAACAAATTCTGAGACGAATAATGATGTGTAGCATGTATGCACACAGAAGAATGAGTGTCTGAAGAGAATCTAAATATTGTACACATTAGACTTTAAGATTATTTAAAGCTGGGCAGTGGTGGCGCACGCCTTTAATCCCAGCACTCGGGAGGCAGAGGCAGGCAGATCTCTGTGAGTTCGAGGCCCGCCTGGGCTACAGGGTGAGTTCCATGAAAGGAGCAAAGCTACACACAGACACCTTGTCTCAAAAAACAACAACAAAAAAGATTATTTAAAATTCAAGTCTCACATTAAAACAAAACAAAACAAAACAAAACAAAACAGGATCTTACTATGTAACCCCAGATGGTCTGGAACTCTACCTCCCAAGTGCTGGGATTAAAGGCTTGTGCCACCTCACCCAGTCCTAAATTGTTTTACCTTTATCAATAATAATTCTCTGAATGTTTTCTATCTTAAAATAATCACAATAAAATGTGAAATTAGAAATAAGCTATATTTTATCTACTTTTTGGTTCCCAGCTGGAGGCACCGTTCTAGAAGACTGTGGTATCTGGGGTGTGTGACTACTACTGAAGGAACTGAGCCCCTGAAGGCTGCTCTTGAGGTTTATAGCCCCCTCCTGTGTGTTTGATTGTTCCTGCCCTCATGCTTCCTCGGCAACAATGGACTGGATCCCCACAAACATGACCCTTCCCCTAAGTGGCTTGACACAAGTGTTTGTGAGCTCCAACAGCCACTACAGTGCTATTAGTGCATAAAATCAATGAGAGCACAGAAGCACTGCTTCAGTTTTAACCAAAATAATTCAAAAGAGCGCCACTGCCAGCCTTCCCCAGCACTCACACTGGCCACAACAGCTTGTGGAACTGGCCAGCACCGAGAAACCACCAGTGGACATTCCCACACAGCTGTACTGCTCTCAATGTACTGCAGGGAGCAGCTGGGAGAGGCCTCTTTGTATCGTGGCCAGTGAGAGACCACGGGAGTCAGCCTTGTTGCCACGCAAGCCCGCTGTGTTAGCATCTCTGTACCACAGCCCGTAAAGAGCAACATGAACTAGGAAAGCTGCTCTTGGAAAAGCTCTCAGGTTTGAGGTGGGAATTCTTGTCCCACCTTAGGCACCAATTGTAGACTGAAGTTTCTCTGTCCTGCCTGGTCCTAACCATGCAGCAGCCATTTTTATAAAATAATCACTCAGAGGCCTCTATTAATTACAAACTGTTTGACCTATGGCTCAGGCTTCTTACTAGCTAGCTCTTTCATCTTAAATCAACCCATCTATTAATCTATGTATTGCCACGTGACTGTGGCGTCACAGGTCTGCTGGCATCATGCTGCTCCTTGGGCATCAGGCTGGAGGCTGCTCTGACTCCACCCTTCTTTATCTCCATCTTCAGTTTAAATGTACCGCCTAACCTTATTCTGCCTCACCACTGGCCAAACAGCTTGATTGATCAACCAATGAGAGCAACACATATTTACAGCATACAGAAAGACATCCCACAGCAGAATTTAGTCCTTTGTCAATGAGCCTAGAGTTTAACATACCCGTCAGATTCAATTTAGGAATAGGCAAGGGCTCTGTTGGAACAGGATGATATGAAAACAAGGTGAACATTCCTCGTCCCACTGGAAGGGCCATAGTTCGCTGACACAACTGGAGCAATCTATAATAAAAACACAAAACAACACACAGACTGCAACAGAGTTCACAGCTGGAATCTAACAGGAGGTAATTACTCCAGAGGAACTAATACACACAATTAAGTCCTCACAAAGCAACCTCCCCGACTCCCCCGAGATGGGAGGATCACCAATTCCTCTCAACTCTCAGCCTCATCAGGATGCTGAAGCAGACACACACTGCCTTTGCTCTGAAAGAGACCCAGTTCTCCTGGGTACACTGACTGGTGCTAACCTGGTCTAAAGATGGTTCCTCTTGGTGTTACCCTCAGGTGAGCTGCATCAGTACACACAGATCCTACTCTCACTCCTGCTGTGTGATAGTTTGTCTGTGTTCTGACAAATAAAGCTTGCCTGGAGATCAAAGGGCGGAGCTAGCCACTAGTTAACCATAGAGGCCAGGCAATGATGGTTCACACCTTTAATCCCAGTACTTGGGAGGAGGAAGCAGGAAGATCAGGCGTTCAAGGCCACCCTGGGCTACTCGAGATTGAACCAGTCTAAGAGAGAAACGGCAGTGGTGCACACCTTTGATCCCAGCACATGGGAGGCTCACACCTTTAATCTCAGGACTAGGAAGGTGGAG